GCCATCCAGGGTGTCAGGTAAGCATGTCCCCAGTCCCCTCGCCGACAGGACCGAGGATGCCCCGGTGTGCCCGCAGCCCCTCTGCCCGCCCCGTGGGCAGCATCAGCCCCAGCGCTGACGGGACGGGATGGGGTCTTCTCCCTCCAGCATCTGCAAGTGCGACGAACGGGGCTGCTTCCTCTACGTGATGCACGCGGAGGAAGATTTCCAGCTCTATTTCCCCTCCCAGCAGCACTGCCGGTGGTGAGCAGGGAGGGTGGGGGGCACAGGGACCCCCACATTGCTGGTGGGGGCATGGGGGACCCCCAGTCACTGCCCTGGTGAGCAGGGAAGGATGGGAGCATGCTGTTTCTTCCCTACCTTAATTTGGGGGGGAAGGGGTGTCCTAGGAACCCAAGCCCTGCAGCTGGGTCCCATAAAGCAGGGTGGCACAGCCCCCCTGTTGTGCCACTGGTGGGGGACAAACTGCGAGGGAGCACAGGAGTCCCTCTGTGCCGGGGGGGTCGGTGGCCAGGTCCCCAGCACCCTCACTGGGGCTCAGGACCGCCATCCTCCCACCGGCAGGTTCTGCAACCAGATCCAGTCCCTTCTGGCTGAGCAGGCAGCGGGTGGTGAGGAGGTACCCAGCCCCACACAACCCATCCTGGAGGTGAGATGGGGACAGGGGGTGACATGGGGGGACACAGGGCGCCGAGTGGCACAGGCTGCCACTCCGCATCTCTGCCCGCAGTACAGCTACGAGTACTCGGAGGCGGGTGAGCGGGTGATCCTGGGCAGGGGGACGTATGGGGTCGTCTACGCCGGGCGCTGCCTCAGCAACCAAGTGCGCATCGCTATCAAGGAGATCCCAGAGAGGGACAGCCGGTAGGTGCCATGCTGAGGGGGTCCTGGAGGGTCCTGGGCGACCCTGGGCAGCCCCTCACCCTGGCGTCCCGCCATGCAGGTACTCGCAGTCCTTGCACGAGGAGATCGCCTTGCACAAGCACCTGCGGCACAGGAACATCGTGCAGTACTTGGGCTCCATCAGCCAGGACGGCTTCATCAAGATCTTCATGGAGGAGGTGCCGGGAGGTGGGCAGCACTGGGGATGGGATTTGGGGGTCAAAAGGGGGACACGTGGCCATATGTGTGGCCTAAATGGGGGTGATGCCCCCCTCTGTGCCCCCTCCCTCTCCAGGGAGCCTCTCATCCCTACTGCGCTCCAAGTGGGGACCCCTGAAAGACAATGAACCCACCATCGTCTTCTACACCCGCCAGATCCTCGATGGGCTCAGCTACCTCCATGATAACCACATCGTGCACCGTGACATCAAGGTGAGGGGGGCATCGCCCATCTGGGGGCATGAGACCTGACCCCCTTATCTCAAGGGACACCGGGGGGCCAGGAGCTGCCCCTCCATGTCCAAAACCCCTAGGGTGATGCCCTGCTCAAGCACCAGGAGCCTTCTGTGGCTTGGTTTTATTTTGGGGTGCCCTTCTCGCCCCAGGGAGACAACGTCCTCATCAACACGTACAGCGGGGTGCTGAAGATCTCTGACTTCGGTACCTCCAAGCGCCTGGCGGGCATCAGCCCCAGCGCCGAGACCTTCACAGGTAAAGGCAGCCAGGGCTGGGGACTGGGTTCCCTCGATTTGGGGGTGGTGGGATGCTGAGGACCAGGCGACAATGGGGGTCTGCATCCTTGTACCCAGCATGGGGACAAGGAGAACGCACCCTGGGGGGGAGTTTGGGTGATGGATACGGGCTCCTCTCACCCCTCCTCATGCTCTCCCCAGGCACCCTGCAGTACATGGCCCCAGAAATCATCGACCAGGGGCCGTGGGGCTATGGGAAGCCAGCGGATATCTGGTCCTTGGGCTGCACCATCATCGAGATGGCCACAGGCAAGCCCCCCTTCTACGAGCTGGGCAGCCCCCAGGCTGCGATGTTCAAGGTACCTATGGATTTGGGCAGGGGATAGGGGTTCCCCAGCCCTGAAATTGCCCCCCCTCCTTGGGATGGCTGGTCCCTTTGCAGCTCCACAGGTGCCTTCCCTCCAGGTGGGCATGTTCAAGATGCACCCAGAGGTGCCCGAGTCCATGTCAGATAAAGCCAAGACGTTCATCCTGCGCTGCTTCCAGCCCGACCCGGCCAAGCGGGCGACGGCTGCCGCGCTGCTGCAGGACCCCTTCCTCGCCGATGCCAGGAGGGTCCGGACTCGGCCCGTACCCCCGGCGGGGGGTGAGTCTTGCGGGGGAGAGCAGGATAGGGGGGAACCTGGCATGAGCTGCTAAATAACCGTCTCCATCATCTCCCTGGCAGGTGATCCCCCCCACTTTGCGCAGCAGGATGGGGATGTGGAGGGCAGCGATGGGAGCAGGGGATGTTCCTCAGCCAGGCAGGACGCCCCGGTGAGGGGCACAGCAGGCAGCCCCCTGCTCCCGTGCCACCCCAGCGAGGCAGCCTCCAGCCGCAGCTACTTGGGGTAGGGCATCCCGGGCACGGGGGGATGGAGGGACCCTGGAGGGGGGGGTTGGCTTTCTGCCTCCCATGGCACCCACTCTCCCTGCCGTGTCCCAGCACTGCACCCCACGATGCTCCCTCGCCGTGCCAGGGCATCACATCCCTCCCCATTACAGCTTGGGGGGCTTACAGGAGGTCCCCCATGCCCTCTGCCAAGCCCAATGGCTGTGCCAGCCCCAAGGCCACACTCCTAAATGCCCGAGGCCAGGGTGGGGAGGGCAGTGCCAACCTTGCCCACCTCCCCCCAGCACTGGCCAGGGCTCGTCCGGCTCCGACCACAGCCTGCGCTCGTCCTCCCCCGAGGAGAGCGGGGACGGGTTCCTCCTGCGGAAAGACAGCAAGCGCCGGGCCACGCTGCACCGCGTCCTCACCGCCGAGGCACCGGGCATCATCGCCGCCTTGGAGGAGAGCCAGGTAGGCGCTGGGTGCCCGGGGTGGGGGGTCTGCACAGCAACTGGGTGGAGGGTGGGCATGGTGGCAGCCCCTGAGCATCTCCCTTACCCACCCAGAGCACGACGGGGGCGAGGTTGGGCTCGGAGCATCTAGCCCAGCTGCTGAGCTGCCTGCGGAGCTACATCCAGTGCCCCAGCCAGCACCAGCTGTGCCAGGACCTCCTGGCACTGCAGACCCGGCTGCGGGCAGAGGGGCTGAGCCTCCCCCACCTCCAGGCTCCCCTCTCCAGTTTCCAGGCAGTGGTGAGTGCCCACGATGGAGTGGTAGGGTGCTGAGTGGGTGATGCCCTGGTGTGGGTGATGCCCTGGTGTGGGTGATGCCCTGGCACAGCGATGCCCTGGGATGGCTCTGCCCCTTCCAGGTGAGACGGGTGCTGCGGCAGCATCACATCAAACCCCACTGGATGTTTGCACTGGATGATGCCATGAGCCAGGCAGTGCAGGCGGCTTTCACCGTGCTGGTGAGAGGTGGGTGGCACTGGGGGAAGGCTGGGACGTGGGTCTGGGTCCCACCACCGTGGCTGGTTGGGTGGAGGAAGAGGGTGGCTGGTCTGGGGTGAGCTGGGGGACTTTGGAGTGCTGGGAAAGGGACATGAGGGGGGGAGCTAGCACTGGGGCAGCTTTGGCTGGGCCCAGCTCCCCATTTTGTCCCTGGTGCTCTGGGTCCGAGGCCATCGGGCACTTCTCTGTGCCCATCACTGTCTCTGCCCCCACAGACCTGGGACTGAAGGCCGGCAGCCCAGGGATGGATGGCACCAAGGACATGAGTGACAAGGATGACACCGTGCCGCCGAGGCTGTCCATCCCCAGGAGCCCACCCCAGCGGGATAGCACCAATTCAGGACTCAGCACCAGCCCCAGCACCCAGGCGGACCCCCTGCCCTCCCTGCAGGCATCCTCGGCACTGGTGACACAGCTCTGCCATCTCCGCATGGAGACAGGCAGGTAGGGCTTCGCTGGTCCTTGTCCTCTATCTCCTGGGGTCCCAGTCTGTGCCCCCCACTGGGTGCCAGTCTGTGTCCCACTCTCCCCAGGCTGCTCCAGGAGCTGGCCGAGAAGGAGCAGGAGTGGCAGCAGCTGATGCAGCGGGCACTTCGCTCCAGGGACGATGACACTGCAGTCCCCAGCCAGCCCCAGCGCAGTGGGGAGCATGGAGAGGTCCCCCCGAGGTGCTTCACCCCGGGGCAGGATCACTCACCCCGAAGCCCCCAGTCCCCCCAGGGACGGGCTGACCCCCTCCTCCTCGAGTGGCTGCAGCGGCACGGCACGGACCCGGCCACCACGGCCACGGTGAGGCCCGTGGCCACTTGGCACACAGAGCTACATGGGAGCTGGGGGTCGGGCCCCGCTGGCGTGAGCAGGGCAGCCCCCCCCCTCCCCGGCATTGCCCCCCCAACACCTCTGCCACCTCCCACAGCTCCTCTCCCATGACTTCACCCTGCGGGACCTGCTGGGCTGTGCCACCCGTGACGACCTCTTCTACATGGGCATCAGGTACCCCCAGCCCGTATTGCCCCTCCTGGCCTGGCTGAGGTGGGGAGAACAGGGTGGCAGCTTTGGCAGGGTGGGTGGGGGGGACACGGCTTGGTCCCCTCCCTCCAACAGCCCCCCATGTCCCAGCAGGCGCGGGCCAGCATACCGCCTCTGGGCAGCCATCCTGGAGCATCGCCGGACCCTCGCCCAGGAGGAAGGGGAGTAATTCCCAGCCCCAGCATGGGGACATGGATCCAGGACACCCAGCAACTGGAGCCCCAGGGCTGCCACCACGGCGGCTGGCAGGATGGTGACGGAGGGGACAGCCCCACGCTGGGAGCCAGCGGATACAGGGGCTCCAGCTCCACACCAGAGGGAGAAGTTGGGGTACGGTGCCCACAGCAATAAACAGCCACCAAATGTGCCCTCTGGTGCCACTTCATTGCTGCTAAAAGGTTGGGGGGGGCACAGACCCCAGCCCCAACCAGTGATGCTCAGGGTGTAGCTCTGTCCCCCGCCCAGGGTCCCACAGTCCTGCTGGCACGGGGTGCTCCATGGAGGGGGCCGTGGCAGCTATGCCCGGGGGACGAGGTTGGTCCGCAGAGGCAGCAGCGCCTCCACCCACTGCCCCGGCTGCCGGAGCAGGCGTCCCCACACTCCCCGCTCCTCCGCTGTCGAGTCCATCCAGCCCACCGGCAACCCGTAGCTGCTCCCTGCCAAGAGACCACTGGCATCACCTTGCAAGGTGCCACCAAGCCCTTGCAAGTTGCCACCAAGCCCTTGCAAGCCGTGGGGGGCACCCTGGGGTTCCTGGGGCTTGCTCCCCACCCCCTTCCCCACCTCACCTGTGCCCAGGCTGAGCCGAATGCCACCCAGCTGGCGTTTGGAAAAGGCTTCGCGGTGCCAGAGGGTGAACTCGGCACACGCCTCGGCCAAGTCCTTGGCCTGGAAGCCATCGTACACCATGGTGTGGTTAAAAAGAGGATTGAGGCTTCGCTTCACCACCCGCGTCTTCTGCCGGCTCGCCTTGCTGTCGTCCGGCAGCACGTAGCTGGGGGGGGGCGACAGCAGGGTGAGGGGGACACACACACACATCAGCCCCTCTGGGTGCCCCCCTGGGTGTCACCCCCCCCTTACCACTGCACAAAGGCATCCACGGTGCCACTTTGCAGGGGGATGAGGCTCTGAGCATCCTTCACCCAGATGTGCAGCTCACCTGTGGGTGGCAGCCCCCCACCTGCGGGCGAGAGGGGTCAGGGGCACCCTGCCATGCTGGAACCCCCCCCCTCCCCGGTGCCCACGGGCACCTCTTACCTTCTGAGCCAGCAGGAATGAATTTCAATGCCAAGTTGAGGTTGCCCCGGCTGGTGAGGCCGTCCGAGGAGATGGGCATCTGGGGAGGATGGGGGGGTTATGGGCGGCCGTGGATGGGGGGGGAGTGGGCTGGGGGAGGGCTGAGAACTCACACGGGGCTGGAGGCTGAACCACTCGGGGCGCGTGTTGGCCCAGTCCCAGGCGCCCAGCGCGATCTCCACCTCCCCCAGGAAGACGTTCCTGCCCAGGCTGTCGTGGTGCCACACTGAGAGGTTCAGGGTCCGGCCCTGCAGGTCCCTCTTCTCCAGCTTGTACTGGTGGGGAGGGGACACAGACAGGGTAAGGTTATTCACCCCCACCCATCCATCCCCCCTTGAACCAGGAGGACACCCCACCCCCACCCCCAAACCACTCCAAAGCGGGGTTAGAAACCTTGAGGGTCTCATTGAAAATGGGATCCAAGCTCCTCTTCCTCACTGTGGTCTTGCGCTTGCTGTGGTTGGACTTATCCGGCAGCAGGTACGTCTTGATGTACCTGGAGCCAAAAAAATGAGGAGGATGCAATGGGTACCACCGCGAGCATTGCCCGGGCATTGCCGCTCGGGGCCGGGGCACTCACGGGTCCGACCGCTGCTTCTTGGCCTCGGCCAGCTCGCGGCACCGCAGCACGTGGACCCGCAGCTCCTTCTTGGCTGGGTCGTAGCAGAGGGAGAACTGGACGCAGCCCCGTACGGCCACGCTGCCCAGCTCGCCCTCGCTGTACAGGCTCATCAGGCTGCCGCTCAGCTGCGAGGCGGGGGGGCAGGGGCAGGGGGG